CATGAAGGGTCACTGCCCGTGCGATCCACCATAGAAAATGGGTTTAGCAGAAAGGAGTTATCTTATTATGCTATTTCTCCCATTATTTATCCCATTATGTGTTGGGAAACCGGATTTTAAAAATCTAGGAGGGTCTATGATATTGTTTTCTGATTGTTCTTGTTATTCTATGTTATTACTGTTATTTTTATGCGTATCTTGGCATACGCAATGTCACAGAACCATATTTATCATTGGTATCATTATTGTAATTATGATTATTCTGTGTTATCATAATTCAATTTCTTTATCCCCAGCTTTATCGACATCGTGGTTGTAATCACCATCCCACAATTCATCATTTCTGAACACAAACTTATCGTAATTATGGTTATAATTAATATCATCGTCATCAAAGTTATCAGTCTTCTCGTCATTCACAGAATCGATCGCATCCTCATCGGAATCAGATAAAAATAATCTCTTTTGCCAAAAAAATGAACACTTTCGTTATCATTATCGCGTCGTTCCCATCATTATTACTATAATCAGAAAAAAATAATCTTTATCATCGGTATTAAACGTTATTATTATCCTACATTAAAAACCATTTCGAAAAAAAATACCTTCAGCAATAATAAAACTAACTCTACACCATTAACCATCATCAATTATAAACACGATTACCCTCACTCCATATCAATATAATTAAGAGAAATTATACACCAACAGCAATAATAAACACAACATCTTGCCAACGTAACGAACACTCGATCTTATTATCATAATCAGATAAAGATATACATTATCAACAATAATAAATACAATTATCTTCGCCTCACATTATTTACCATTCTTAGACTCAATTTCATATATTATCATCAAACACTGTTATGATCCTCGCTTTATAAAACATTCTTAAAACCTCCATCGGGAAAGATAAACACTATTGTCATTACTTTGCATTATTCAATATTTCTAAAATCATTGTCAGCAATAATAGATTATCATCCATCCCAAATTATTTATTTTAAAGTCATTCTTAATAATAATAAACACTATTATCATCAATCCCAAATTATGAACTATTTTTAAAATCATCATCAGCAATAATAAAGACTATTATCATCACCATATCATAATTAGGAAAAAATCATTATATCATCAGGACTAATAAACACAACTATCATCACCAAACGTTATTCTCTCTCTCTCTCTCTGTCTGTCTGTCTGTCTGTCTGTCTGTCTGTCTGTCTGTCTGTCTGTCTGTCTGTCTGTGTCTGTCTGTCTGTCTGTCTGTCTGTCTGTCTGTCTGTCTGTCTGTCTGTCTTCTCTGTCTGTGTCTGTCTGTCTGTCTGTGTCTTCTGTCTGTCTGTGTCTGTCTGTCTGTCTGTCTGTCTGTCTGTCTGTCTGTCTGTCTGTCTGTCTGTCTGTCTGTCTGTCTGTCTGTCTGTCTGTCTGTCTGTCTGTCTGTCTGTCTGTCTGTCTGTCTCTCTCTCTCTCTCTCTCTCTCTCTCTCTCTCTCTCTCTCTCTTCTCTCTTCTCTCTCTCTCTCTCTCTCTCTCCCTTTCTTTTTTTCATTTATTTTGTTAATAAAAAATTAATGTAGTCAGGATATTTTTGATTATTATTTAATCATCTATTTATATATTTTTACCCATCAGTCTTATCATCATAATCAGAAAAAAATCTATATATCAACAATAATAAACACAATTATCCCTACCCCACATTATGAACCATTATTTAACTCGACCACACGATATGAATCATTGATCTTATTATCATCACCACAATCAGAAAAAAAACACACATCTATACCATCAATAATAATAAACACCATTATCACCCGTGTTATAAACCATTAAAAAAAAACAAAGACAAAAAACAAAAAAAAAACATCATCAGCCAATGATCACCCATTCTTCAACCCACCATCAACAATAATAAAATCGATGACCCTAAGCCTCAGCGTTTGAAAAGTTCCTAAGATCTCCCCCGTATTCCAGGTGGCGGTGCTTGCGGTAGTGGTGGCGGGGGCTGCGTCGGCGCCTCAGTATGTGTATAACTACGCCTTCAACATCCCGAACACCGATATTTCCGACCCAAGGTGAGGGTAGGGGAGAGGAGGAGGAGGAGGAGGAGGAGGAGGAGGAGGAGGAGGAGGAGGAGGAGGAGGAGGAGGAGGAGGAGGAGAGGGGGAGGAGGAGGAGAGGAGGAGGAGGAGGAGGAGGAGGAGGAGGAGGAGGAGGAGGAGAGAGGAAGAGGAAGAGGAAGAGGAAGAGGAAGGGGAGAGGAGAGGAGAGGAGAGGAGGAGGAGGAGGAGGGGAGGAGGAGAGGAGGAGGAGGAGAAGGAGTCGAGGGGCGAGGTTAGGAGGTAGGAGGAGAGGAGGAGGCATGTCGGCCGGAACGGGAGGACGATAGGAGGACAAGGTGAGGAGTTAGAGGAGAGGAGGAGGAGGAGAAGCAGGGAAGAGGAGAGAGAAGAGGAAAGAGGGAGGAGGGGGAGGAGGGGGGAGGAGGAGGAGAGGAGGGGAGGAGAGGCGAGGAGGAGGACAAGAGGAAGAGAGGAGGGGAGGAGGTAAGGAGGAGCGAGTGGAGGAGGGGAGAAGAGGAAAGAGGAAGGAGGGAGGAAGGGAGGAGAGGAAGGGAGGAGGAGGAGGGAGGGAGGAGGAGAGAGAGAGGATAGGAGGAGGGGAAGAGGGAGGAAGGAGGAGGAAGAAAAGAGGAAGAGGAAGAGGAGTAAAAGAGGAGGAGGGAGAGAGGAAAGGAGAGGAGGAATCAGAGGGGAAGAAAGAGGAAGAGGAAGAGGAAGGGGTAAAAGGAGAAGAGGAAGAGGAGAGGAAGAGCGAAGAGGGGAGGAGGAGGAGGAGGAGGAGGAGGAAAAGAGGAGGAGGAGGCAGGAGGAAGGGAAGAGGAAGGAGGAGGAGGAGGAGGAAAAAGAGGAAGAGGAGGAGGAGGAGGAGGAAGAGGGAAGAGGAGGAGGAGAGGAGAGGAAGAGGAGGAGGAGGAGGAGGAGGAGGAGGAGGAGGAGGAGGAGGAGGAGGAGGAGGAGGAGGAGGAGGAGGAGAGAGGAGGAGGAAGGAGGAGGAGGAGGAGGGGGAGAAAAAGGGGTTAAAAATAGAAGACAGGAAGAGGAGGATAAGGAGGAAGGAGAAGAAAAAAGAGGAAAGAAGATAGGAACAGGAGGGGAAGATGAGAAGGAGGAGGAGGGAGAAGGAGGAGGAGGAGGAAAGGAAGAGTGAAGAGGAAAGGAATGGAGGGGAAGATGAGAGAAGGAAGAGGAGATGATTGAAAGAGGAGGTAGAAGTTTAATTAGAGAAATTAGATGAAGATGGCTGAAAGAGGAAAGATTTAATAAGAGAAATTAGATAGGGATGACTGAAAAAGGAGATAAAGTAAGGTAAATCTGTAAGATAAGATAGTTAAGGATACCTGAAAGTGGAGATCAGATCAGATAAATATAAGATACATTAGATAAGAATGAAAGCGGAGGATAATAAATGAGATAAATATGATAGATAACTTAGATAAGGATGACTGAAAGAGGTAGAGATAAGATAAATAAATGAAAGAGATGACTTAGATAAGAATGAAAGTGGAGGAGATTAGATGAGATGAATAGATAAGGATGACTGTGGAGAGATTAGATAAGGTAAATAAATAAGATAGATAAATTAGATAAGGATGACTGAAAAAGGTGGAGATTGAATAAAAAGATAAAGACTGAAAGAGGGGGTAGAGATTAGTTTTCGATGTGATTTTTTTATTTGATGTATGTGTGTTATATTGGCTGTTGTACTAAGGTATTTTGGTTAGTATTTAAGGGTACATGTAATGATATTTGAATTTTATGTTTGAAGTTTTTTTATGGTGTTTAATTTTATACAGAACTTTTAAGAAATTAATAGTTTGGACTAAAATTTTTTTTTTCATAAAGGTAATATTTAATTTGTAATATTTTGTTTAAACACAGACACTTGGTAAAAGACGAGATCTGAAAGACATTTTAAGCATTTTTACAAACTGATATAATTAGAAAGAAATTATTATTTCCTTAAAATGGATACATTATTTCGCTGTATTTTAACGAAAAGGCATTTTTAGGTATAATATTAGAATGTGAAAAACAAATATTTAATTCTAAACATTACTTGAATCAGTATTTAGCTAATTCCTCTCTTCTTAACCTCTTAACTTAATTTTCTTAATTGTTATGTAAATCCCAGCATGCAGTAACGTCCTTTAATAACTCTGTCCCTTTAAATCCTCAGGCCTGTTAACACTGGATTCCAGGCGCCCGCTGCTTATGTCAGTCCTCTTGGTAAGAACAAGGAATATGCTTTTATAAGTGGCTGTTTTGAAGTATTTTTTTTCCGTATTCAGATATACGATTAGCATGTAGCTGTTCTAGCCTTTTTCTTTTTGTAGATGTACATGGGTATGTACTTATACGAGCACAACTGCCTAAACGTGTATACTGTAGATAGATAGATAGATAGATAGATAGATAGATAGATAGAGATAGATATAGATAGATAGATAGATAGATAGATAGATAGATAGATAGATAGAGATAGAGATAGATAGATATATGAATTGATAAATAGAAAGATTAATAGATAAGTATATGAATAAATGAATAGATAATCGTAAGATAAGCATATATATGTAGATGTGTTTATGTATATGAATAAAAATAAGCGGATTTGTATATATTTTTTCTACTTTTTATCAATCAATTTCATATATCATTTTATCTACTTTGTACTTAGAATTACCCACTCACTATCAATATCATCGTTGCAGCGTATTTGATAATTTATTTGTCATATATAGTACTAATTCTATAATATTCAGTTTGCAGCTGTGCACGATTATGTTAATATATTTTGGAAATTTTCAAAAACCTGGAAGAGTCGATAATAAATGTTAAGTTTTATCTATGTAATTATATATTTATTTGATGTTGAATCTTGATTATACTGATTTAAAGTAATAACAGATTCTAGGTTACTACA